ATCAGTACTGGCACATGCTGAGAAGGGCTGAAGCTATCCAACTAACAGACAAAGACTTCAGGCCAGCATCCTAGATTGGCAACCCTCTTTTAAACTTCATAGTTTGGACTTTCATGTTAAAAGACCTAGGAAAACAAAATCTTGTCCCATGGTGAGAGATCACCTGCCCCCGTCATCTTCAGGCCTGCCAAGTCACATTCTCAGCTCATGAGACTCACACACTTGACTCCCACATCCCTCTGCCTGCTGATACCCAGCTATTGCTGGACCTCACATGCAGGTCTTGGAGGGCTGTGGCATCTCTCTGGTGCTCCAAGGCACCCGCTGAAGGAGCTGTCTCTCCTGGTAGTGGTGTGTATATATGCCACGCGTGGTCAGAGAGCAAGAGCACGATTGTGGTGCTCCGCCAGGAACGAGAGCTGGTAACCAGAGGCCCATGCCCCGAGGAAGGCACAAGCATCAGCTGCAGCCTGTCCCTCTCTGTCACATCGTCTTGCACCCACATGACTAACACTGTGTGACCCCATACAAAGGCACACTAAGGAGAGTCACATATCAAGGGAGAGGTAAGCTGAGAGCTCCGTGTCTTATTCTAGCTTGCCCCACACTATAATGCCAACATAAAAAAAATGGATGAAGAACATGCAGGTCCCTGATGGGCAGCCATGTTAAATTGGCAGCTGGGTTCTTCTTGAAAGAAGACAGCACATAAGCTTTAAATAACCTACTCAGAAACCAAACCTCTAGGCTATTCATATCAGAGATGAATAGTTGGGCACACTCTTTGCAACACAGACTGAAAGTCTTAAAAGGGCTTTGTGAGATGGGTCAGTGCTGTCCCTTGTTGTGTTTTCAAAAATTCTGATCAAGACCTTGCAGCTTGGCTTTACAGACCGTAGCACCATCACATGTAGTAAGACAGAGAAATACACATAACCATACAATACACATAACATAACAATACAGATAACCTCTTTTAACAGGGGTCTCTATTATCCAAATACACAGGCAGCCATCTGGCAGAAACCACCCTCAGTGCTTGTACACGGTGTTCACCAGCTGTCAGAGGATCTCTTTTGAATGACTGATCAGCCAAGTAGAACATACCTACAAGCAGTTCTTCCACTTCAGATTTGTACCTTGGATATCAAATATTACTTAAGAGCCAAGTACATGCCAATGGCACAGGAAAAGCTCTGGGAAAAATTAGGCAATTTGCACTCAAAGACTGCATCAACTGGTAGTTTCCCGCCTCAAGTTGCCTGTTATCAAAACCAAATCCAACACACCTGGCCCTGGAGGAGAACATTCTTTCACGGCAACAGATGCTGCTGGAGACGTAATAGGACTCATAATGTCCCAGCTCAAAAATACACATGGAAAGTTGTAGGTGACTTAGTTGACAGAAAAAAAATGCATGCAGTGAGATTAATTTGATCAATTCCTTTAAAATTTCTTTGACTTGCAGTGGGAATGAGACACAGGAAAGAATCTGTCTTCTAAAGAAAGATAATTTCTTTTATATGGCTGTTCTGAGCTGAATATATTTGTACAGTCTTCATGTCTGGAGCACAGATGAACAACAGGAACATTAAGTTTGACCCAAACCAAATCAAATTTCATTTCAACCTGTTTTACCCACAGAGCTTCACTTGAACACTTATTCTCCAGGTAGCCTGCAACTCCCTAACTTTGTCTTGCAAGTCCACGTGCATTTTTTTTCCCAGCAAGATAATGCTTTAAATTACATTGCTGTAGAAAACATGTTAGACATTGTTCCCAACAAAGCAGGCACTGAAGAGAATGTAGGTCTTTCCAGCTGTAGCAATGACATATTAATGCTGGAAATCATAAAAAAGAACATAAATGGGTGACTCAAAAGAGACAGTTTAACCAAACCAATTTGTAACAAAGCCTAAATGTCACAGAGTCCTCAGGTCAGGGCAGTAACACACTGTACAGGAGCCCCCGACTTGGTGTCTTTACATCACACTGGCAACAATTCTAATAGGAAAGGGGTGGATATTGCTAGTGCTGGGTATGACCGGGGGATATAGTGTTTACCAGTGGAACACAGAGATCTCTAGCAGTTTGGAGTCTCAACGGAAAAAGTCTAGCACGAACCACACAATATGAGAGCAGGTAGAGCTACTAATTCAGGAAAACCTACACTCAGTGACATACAGCAAACCATATCCCTTTCCTGAGCCATGTGTAACAGAGGTCAGGAAGGACGGACAGGCCATTTACCGGTATAACATAACAAAGGGAAAGCATCACCATCAAGAGGCAGAAAATCAGAATTAGAGACTCACCCTGTGACTATGTCCACACAAGGAATGGAGGTGCAGGGACCAGACTGGGCTGGGAAGGGGTACACCACTGTCACTTAACCCCGGCTATGCTGTGTCTCTGTAAAGTCCCATTAGGCTGCTGTAAGAAAAGCACAATGCCAAACTGGAATCAGCACCTAGAAGGCGGCCAACAACACATTTGCACTCTCTGCCCTGCTGCAGTATTTATTTCTACTCTCTTTTCTGCAAGCACACACACACACACACACAAATCATTGATCTTAATGTCCGATTTTTTTACAACCACCTTTCTTCCCAAAAAAACCTGGTAAGAAAAACATCAATCGCTTTGCCGCTGTCTGTTTGAGACATTTCCTGATTCCTGGAACTGATACTTGAAACCTGGACAAAGTTTGCTTTTCTGTGGCTTAGGGCAGGATCTACCATCTCTCAGCTCCCTTATCACTTTACCCTGTGCGTGGGCGACAGGGTATGTGCTGCCAGATCTTCTTGCTGCAATGAAGCCACCAAGACTGCAAACTGGGTGGTCAGGGCATCCCCGGGAATGCGAATCTCCCTGTCAGCCTCCTGCCTGCTAACAGGCCTGAGACCAAGGTGCTGGGCTCACCCTGGAGCCTATGCCAACCCAAGGAGGGCACTCCCTAGGAGGCTCTACATGACAGGACCTTGTGAGTACGTCCAAATCTTATCTCTGGGCACCCAGACTCCGTAATTCCCAACAAACTCTGTTTTACTTCTTTCCTCTCAACTGCCCTTGCATGGTTCCCTCCTGTCTGCTCCGATATGAGATCGGACTGCCAAACGAAAAACCAGTAAAAGTATTCAGGCTGCAACTGGTTTTGTAACACGGGTGCTTCTGCCTGTAAGAGCAGACAGACAGACAGCTCTCTGCATTGCCAGTATGTCACACTAAAAAGACCTTTACCCTTTGAGAGGCAAAACTCCTCTCAGGCAGGCCCCCCTACAGGAATAAGCTATTCCTGTAGTGCCATCTTCTGGCTCGTGGTGTAGGAAGGCTGCAAACAGGGCTGATCAAAAGAAAAATATTTTTTCATCTGGTAAAAAACATTACAACAGGTTTAGACTATGGATCAATATACAGAAACACCCAAACCAGGGGAGTTCTCTCAACAGATTATGTAAAATTCACTTCCCAGTAAATTATTAGTTTTAAAATGACGAGATTTAAAAAAAATATCTTCTGGGCCGATCTGCTTTGTGTTTTGAGCCATTACAACTTGCTTTTCAGCTTTTGTTTTATTTCTCAACAAACATCAAGGCTCAAAACTCACAGTTTGCTTACAATTTTTGTGCAATCTCATGACTCTGGAAGGTAAGGCCTGAAGGTTCCCCAACACCACGTGGGGAGTAAGGAAAGCATATACATGGAATCACGGAATTGTCAGAGTTGGAAGGGACCTTCTAGAGACCATCCAGTCCCACTCCCCTGCCAAAGCAGGGTTGCCCAGAGCACATCACTCAGGATGGCATCCAGGAGGGACTTGAAGATCTCCATAAAAGGGGACTCCACACCCTCCCTGGGCAGCCTCTTCCAGGGCTCTGCCACCCTCACCCCAAAGAAGTTCTTCCTCAGATTGGAGTGGAACTTCCCATGTTCCAGCTTGTGCCCATTGCCCCTCGTCCTGTCACTGGGAACCACTGGAAAGAGTCCGGCTCCACCCTCCTTCAACCCACCCTTTAGATACTTATAAGCATTACTAAGGTCTCCCCTCAGCCTTCTCTTCTCCAGACTCTGACATCTTCATCCTTTCCCCCACTTCCAGTGGTTTTCTTTTCCTACAAGTAACACTCCATCTTTCGGAAAGCCCCTGCTTTCCACAATAACCATAAAACACCTTCTTTAGGGAAGCAGCCCTACCAAAAAAAGCAAAAAAAGAGAGATCTTCTGGAAATTAAAACCCACCGACATCAGGAGGAGGCCGTGGGGTGGTACTTTCCTCCTGTTGCCGCCAAAATGGCCGCTGAGGGGCGCTGTGAGGCCAGGCCCAGGGATGCCTTCGCGGCCCCGCCCCGCCTGGAGCAGCCCTCTGGGTCCCTCGCCGGTTCGGGGGGCGTTAGGCCCCCAAAAGCCGTCCTGCCGACCCGGAGAGGGGTGACAGCCCCTTCCTTCCCTGAGGGGGGGAAGACGGAGCCACGGCCGATCCGGGAGCGACCCAGGCCCAGCGCCATCGCACCGCCGACCCCTGAGGGCAAGACCCCCTCAGACCCGGCGGCCGCCTCGCCCTCCCTGTGGGTGCGCCTGAGCCGCCTGTGCTCCCGCTCCTCTCCCCAACCCGATTTCGAAACGGCATTAGAAGAACAATAGTAATGCAAGTGTTTCATCATAATCCTGTTATAAGCCCAGATGTATCAGAAGGGATTTATAACCGTAGGCAAGGCGGGAGCAAGGACGGCTGCAGGGGGGCCAGCCCCAAACCCTTCCACTCCCCACACGGGGCGAGGGGAGGCGCAACGCCGGCACACCTGAGGAGCTGGCCACTAAACGACCCGGAAAGAAAACAGTCTCAATAATTAATAATAATAATAGTAGTAACAACAACACGGCCAGCCTACATGAATTACGGCGCGGCGCCGTGACGGGGCGATGACCGCAGCGCCCCCGCCCCCGCCGCGGACGTTGAAGGCCGCTGCCGCCCCGCCTGCTCCGTCCCGCCGCGGCGCAAGATGGCGGCGCGGCTGCTCCGCCTGCGAGGCTTGGTGAGGGCCGCCGGCCCCCGCTCCTTCTCTGCCCAGGCCAGGTTAGCGGGGCGCAGGGCCGGCCTTGGTGGGCATCGCCGGTGCCGGGGGTTGCCTGTGCCTGGGGGGGGGCGGGCGGCAGGCGGGCGGGCACCCCTTGCACCTGGGCGCGTTAAGGGGGTGTTCTTGGGTTTGGCTTGTCCGTGTGGGGCTGGGTGTGTGGCTGCTCATGGGGTTGCACAGGCGTATATACGGCTTTATATATGCGGTGGGTGTACGTACCTATGTATATATTTCAGGGGTATGGGTGCGTGCTCTGTATATATGTGTCGGGATGCTTAGGGGCACAAGCGTATTTGTATGTATAGGCGCGTGTCTATACGTGGGCACCCGTGACCCCATCGCAGGAACCCCCTGAAGCTGCGGCCCAGGCCCGGGAGCCCCGCCCTGAGCCCCCCTGGGGCTGCGGCCCGGGAGCCCCCCTTGAGCCCCGTGGGGTTGCGGCCCGGGCCCGGGAGCCCCGCCCTGAGCCCCCCTGGGGCTGCGGCCCGGGAGCCCCCCTGAGCCCGCGGCCCAGGCCCGGCGGGGTCCGGGAGGCCGCTGAGCCCCCGGTGCCTGGCAAACCCGGGAGCCCCAGCGCATCCTCCCGTGACAGGGCCGACCTTTGCCCCACTTGCCGCCGTGGCTCCGGGGACACCGCGTCCCGTGGTGGCAGCAGGTGATGGGGCCGGGTGATGTCCTTGCCTGGTCACCCCCTGGCTTGGGGGCTGGCGAAGGGGCCCGGGGAAGGGGGATTTCGGGGAGCAGGAGCACAGGGTGGTGGTCACCACCTCTGCCGACCTTGGGAGCCGTGGCTCCGAGGGCTGTGGTTGGCCTGAAGGAGCAGCCCGTCCCGTCCCTGTGTGTCATGTGCGGGGTGTGAGCCGCAATTAGACGAAAGGGTGGTCCTGTGTAAAGTTCAGTGTCATCATCAACAGCTTTAAAAATAAGGTGGGGCTTTTGGGAGAGTCAGGGTACGTCTGTCACGAGAGGGCTGGGTTTGAGGGTACAAAAATACGGAACAAGCGAGTTGCAGTAGCCCGTTTCTTCCAAATACCACTAGAAATAGAGTCTGTGTTTCAGGGGTGTTGAATGCTTTGCAGTAGGAGGAGCGTGAGTAACTTTGTGAGGCTGTAAATAAAGACCTTCGTCTCCGTCATGGAGTAAATAAGTGAAGGCTCAGCTCTGTGGGACCTACACACAGTTACTGGGAAACTGAGGGACTGAGAGGTGAACAAAACCCTTTGAGAAAAGAACAGCAAATGTCTTTTCCATTTATTGTAGCTCAGCTCTGTATTTATAAGTCTGATACTTTGTGGCAATAAAATTAAAGCAAGTTGAAGAACCCAATGCACAGATACAAAAAGTGAATTTTCACTTCAGCAGTATGTTGCCCTTGACATTCTAAACCCATACAAAAGCTTTAAGCCCTTCTGTATTATTTATTACTTGTGTGGTTTTGACTACTGACATTTACCACTATTGCAGCTTTTATTTTTTGTTAAGCATTTTATCTTTATGTATCTTTCTGTCAGAGCTTTGGGAGGCTTAGCCTTCCTGTATGGCAAAAATACTGAAAGTTAGAAGGAATAGAAACTATTATTTTCAAGGTTAGAACTGTGCAGATACATGTGATAATGCAGGCTATAATACAGCCCTTGGGGTGTGCAAATCCATGGTGTACTCACTTTTATTTTGAGTGTATGAGTTTTTAGTGTCATGGATTTGCAATTTTGGGACTTCTTGGGGTATGTACAGAATGAACAAAACCCACAAAAAAAAAAGTTTACTTGTTTAAAAAGTTACCCCCTTGGTTTAAATTGAGCTGAATTGCATTTTGGAGGTTGTGTGGTGGGGGAAAAAGGCAGTGATGGTTTCTAGTATCTCTTATGAAGGAACTATCCTCTTCCCCATGTGTGTGTTATTACTATTATTACTGTTTTTAATTTATTTGAAGCATTAAGGACAAACCAGTCTTGCTTTACCTCCTTTCACAGCCCAGTGAAGTACAGAGTACATCAGGTCTTTGTATTTATTGTGGGTATCCTTTGAACCTAACAGTGTGCTAGGCTTGGGGTGTGAATTATGTTAAACACCATGTTTAATGTTTTTCCTCTCTTTTAAAAGCGGTGTGTAAATGGGGGTGCCTATATTCTAACAAATGCTTTCACTTGTCATTTTTTAGTCCTCTGCAAACTGAACAGCACGGCACAAAGCGCCCGGAACCATCTTCTGCTAAAAGTTTGATTGATATAGGCACTCGGAGGATCTTCTCGTCAGATCATGATATCTTCAGGGAGAGTGCCAGGAAGTTCTTTCAGGAAGAAGTGCTGCCTTTCCACGCAGAGTAAGATAGCTCATAAATGTTCTGGTTTCCCAAATTATACGCGTTTTTACCTGAAAGTGCTTTTTGGGATGTTACTCTGAATATGACAGAGTAAATAGAATACTGGTTTTCATTTACAAGCTTTCTATTTCAAATTTACCCAATTAAAACAAACCTGGCTATGAAAATCATATTTTCATATGATTTTTTCAAAGAAATTACGCATCACCAAAACTCACTGTGTTTTTGACCTCCAGTATAAGCAATCTGGCATCCTTGTCTTGGGCCTCTGAGCAGACAAACACAGTTTGCAGGGTTGCAGTGAAAGTATCCCTGGTTGTAGGTATTAACTCTTGACACTGATGTCTTGGGGTTACGATCTGGGAGAGAGTTCCCACGCTATTGTATTGCTGTTATCCCAAAAAAGCATTGACATTGTTTGTTTCTGGGTTACATTGCAGTAGACTTTGTAAATACAGTACATGTGGGATGGTAAGCTGGTTTATGTATTACCAAGAAGCTTGCACAAAATGTCTTTATGTAAATTTCCATCTTTTTCGCTTGTGTGGTGTTCTGCACAGAATAGAAGTGTCTTACTTCATTGAACTAGAGCTGGAGATTGTTTTTTTTGCCCTTGTTTTAGCTATATCTGATCCTGTTATAGTTGGGGAAAGAAAATAAATGAACGCAGAACACGTTTTTGAACAGAAAGCGTTAAGCTGCAGTAGTGTCTTAAGCAATTTTTACTTCACTTGAAAAACATTCCTGCAAAAACACTGGGGGGTAGCAAAGGGCTTATTCTTCTAGCACGCTGCTACATGAGGTTCCTGATGTTGCTCACAGCATGTATCCACAAACAGTTGAAATGGCACAATTGAGTGGGTGGGGTGTTGTGGCTGTGGGGCAGAAATGAGCAGCAGGAGGCAATGGAAACAGCTAACATCAGGGTTGTGGCCAACTATTTTTTCATCCTCAAACCATAACCTCAAAGTAGTATGCTTTTCCACTGTACAGTCATTATCTGTCCACAAAACTAGACGTTTTCCCTCATCTTTTGTTAGAATGACTTCTAGTGCAGGTTTGTGAACAGGTACTGGCTCTCCATGAGGTTACTGAAGATCCTGTTTTGCTGGCTTGCTGACCAACGACTTCCTAGAGGGACTGGAACAAGTTGGACTTGTGTTCTTGCATCACTTCAGTAACCTATGAGCCATTCTGTTCTCACACCTTTTAAGTACACCAGGGGGCTTCAGGCATAGTATATTAATTGGCTGGGCTGACATGAAGAGACAGATGTGGCATCAGTGAATGCAGTTGTGGATTACTGTGAGGAGAAGCTTTGGTGATGGGTGAAGTAGAGACTGGAATGGCCCTGAAAGTGGGGGGAACAGAAGCAAAGATGGTCACAAGCGAGATTTGTTTAAAATATCCAGTGTAGGAGCAGAAGCTCTGGGAATGAGCTTAAATGGGTAGGATAATATGCTTGATTAACTGTGGATAGTGCTGTGATTTAGCTCTGCTGCACACAGGTGTGTCAGAGGAGTGTCTCTGATATAATTTGTCTATGGCACAATGTTAAAATTGTGTTTATTTAAAAAAAGAAAAGACAAAACACCCACATTTGGGCCATTAATGGCCATCCAACTTTACATCAAGTTGGCAAACTCCATAGAGAAGTGCTAGAATAAGCAATTCCTGTGATGTTAATGTTTGCAAACTGTCAGCCTCAACTATCTACAAACTTGACATCACCTTAAACCAGTAATTTACGCTTTACATCAAGTTGGCAAACTCCATAGAGAGGCGCTAGAATAAGCGATTCCTGGGATGTTAATGTTTGCAAACTGTCAGCAGATAAGCCTCAACTATCTACAAACTTGACACTGCTTTAAAGCAGTAATTTACCAAGATACAGTATTGACTTGTAATAAGTGCACAGGGAGTGATTTTTGTATTAAAATGACTAATATATGTTAACGCTCTTATAAAGCAGTTCTCATTGGTAGGGTTGAAACCTTTCACAGAAGATGTGTTATACTCATTTTGTACATGGGGAAGAGAAAGACCTGCTTGTAATTATCCAGATGGTTGTGGCTAAATCTCCTCAATACCTGTCTGGCACTCAGACCAATAGGCAGCACTGCCTTTCATTTCAAGTCTTAAGGAGACATCAGGTTAAGTGTTGGAAGCAGGAGTTCAAACTTGTTATAGAGTTGGTGCCATTGTAATGCCAGTGGCATTTGTGGCCTTGAAGATAGACAACCTATTAATTAGTTGCACCTTCTTAGCTGCAAAATATAGTTGGCTGTGTACCCTGCGTGTCTGTTGTTGAGACTGAAAGTCTTTCTCTACGCAGTGAAACCTGCCTGCAGGTGTTCTAGCGAAGCAGCAGCTGTGACAAATAAACAGGAGCATGTGGGGGTTTTAATGTGTGACTCCCTTCTTGTGTTGATTTTGCAGGTGGGAGAAGGAGGGCCAGGTGAGCAGGGAGCTCTGGGAAAAGGCTCTATGCAGCGAAACCTGCCTGCAGGTGTTCTAGCGAAGCAGCAGCTGTGACAAATAAACAGGAGCATGTGGGGGTTTTAATGTGTGACTCCCTTCTTGTGTTGATTTTGCAGGTGGGAGAAGGAGGGCCAGGTGAGCAGGGAGCTCTGGGAAAAGGCTGGCCAGCAGGGTTTGCTGGGTGTTGCTATTGCTGAAAAACATGGAGGCATCGGAGCGGATATTCTCTCTTCAGCCGTGGTCTGGGAGGAGCAGTAAGTACTAAGTGCTTCAGGAAGAGTTTCAGTGATATTATCAAGAGATATTTTTTTTCTGTAAGATATCCTCATTATGGAATATGTTTGCTTACAGAGAATAGTGTTATCTTTCTCATGGAAAGGATAGTTTAGACACATGAAAATCCATCCCGTTCTAAGTATTCTGGATAGTTTTTTTGGTAACAGATGTCATTGTGCTCCACTGTTAGGAATTTGTGGCTGGGGGAAGCTTTTTTGCTAGGCTGATAGGTTATATACTCGTTTGGCTGTGAAAGTACATTCTGTAAATAACAGTACAAGTGCCACAAGCTCTGATTGTCTGAGACGTGTGTGTCATGGGGCTTTGTAATGGTGTAAAGCTTAGATCTCTGTAGTGCTTTTATTAACTTCATTTTCCCCACTCCTCAAGGATGTATGTTAACTGTACGGGCCCAGGATTCAGCCTTCATTCGGATATAGTCATGCCCTATATTGCAAACTATGGCTCTGAAGAACAGATTAAGCACTTTATCCCCAAAATGGTGGCAGGCAAGTGTATTGGAGCTATCGCCATGACAGAACCCGGGGCTGGCAGGTAAGCTAAGTATTAAAACAATGGTCTTAACGTTATGTGCTCCCTATTGATTTGTCAGTGAATAAAACTTATATGGTCATTTCAGTGGCTAGACAATATCCTAGATTAGGTAGGACCTCAAAAAAACTCTGTTACGTATGCGTTACTTTATTACAGCTTTGTCGTTTCCAGATATGTGCTAAGAATCCATTTCTCTATCATCCCACTGTGGGCAAATACGCTTTCTATTTGCTTTTATAGTGTGAGTTTATAGTTAACTAACCTGCTTGTCATGCGAACGTACTTCTAATATGCCATTTTCTCCTTACTACTTTTCATACCTTGGTAAAGAGGACTTGAGTTTACTATTAGCTTTTCTTATGAAATGGAATACCTTGTTTTCATTCCTCTGACTCCTTTCCAACAGAGAAATGTCCCCTCCTTGCCCGTCCTTATTGAAGGGCAGACAGTACATGTTTGGAGTAGGCACAGCTGATCTGGCCAGTTCCCAAAACCGAGAGGGACAGGTGAAGAGCAAAGCCTGTTGGTGTCACAGTTCTACGAGTGGCAGATGTTGCCTATGGCTTTTTACAGAGCCTCCTGATCAGGGCTGAGCCTGCTTAGAGGATGTGGTTTTGTCTGGCGTTTGTCATCTAAGGCATGTTGGTGTAAGGGGATGCTGACCTGTTGGTGTGTCACTGCTTGTTTTATACCACTTTTCCACAAGCAGATACGTTAAAATGGGACCTTATGTTCTTGTACAACTGCACAGATTTATCATCCCTTCCCGCAGCACTCTGGTGGTTTCTGTGTTGCGCTCTAAGCTATTCCACTGCGTTTCACTATCCTCATATGCATTTTCACTGAGTCCATGCCTGGATGGTATAAAATCTACCTTATTTTATGCTGGGTAGAATTAAAGATACAAATTGCAGCTTCTGAAATGGTTTCTTGAAGGACCTTTTGTGTTCTGTTTTAGTGACTTGCAGGGAATACGAACATATGCCAAAAAAGATGGAAGTGACTGGATTCTTAATGGGAGTAAGGTAAGTGAGCAGACAAAAATACCACTCATTGACTGTGGGAACTGCACACATTTAGACAGTGAAGAATGTACATCATTGTCACTCTTTCCCCCCACTCCTTCACTTCTGGTTTTTTGTGGGTTATGTTGTGGGGGTTTTTTTGCCCAGTTACTTTTTTAGTAGGATTTAAGATACTTCTGTCGCTCGCAATTTATGGCCAGGCTTCAGTAGGTTCTTCTTGTAGCTTTAAAATAACCCTATCAAAAGGCCTGTTTTTCCTTAAACTTGGAAGAAAAGGGGAGAAAGGGGAAGGGGAAAAAAAAAGTCCTGCGTAGTATGGACTGGACCAGGGCTGATTTATTTATTTATTTATTTAGCACTGAGGTTGAAAACCAAAATATATATACTACTACTACTGTGGAATCTTCTGTGGCCCAAGTTAAAACTTGTGTTGCCACAGTGCAAGCTGTGGAATCCTTATTCAGGAGCCTGCTGGTCATGTTAGCAGTATAAAACCCAACTGCATCAGGTGCCCTTTGTGTGTTGCCAAGCTGTTGCAAAGCTGGCAGCATTAACCTTGTCTTTCATTGCCATAATAAAAAAAGCAAGAAGGCAGAAATAGTGCTTGAATGGAAGTCTGGCTTCAGCATTAACCTTGTCTTTCATTGCCATAATAAAAAAAGCAAGAAGGCAGAAATAGTGCTTGAATAGAAGTGTGGCTTCAACAAGGCTTTTTTTTTTCTTGTTAAAGCTATGAAATGTCTTAATTTTCTTTCTCTCCCAGCTCCCCCTTTTCCTTTGTACTTGTGCTAATAACATGTTACTGGTGGAGACTTCTGGTCTTAGCTGAATTTGTGCAGACAGAGAATGTGTGCAAGCAAATATGCTCATACAGATGCTCAAAAGGGTACTTGGTTATGCTGCACAGTTGAAGCCAAGCAGGACAGATTGCGCTTTTTTTTTTTTTCTATTTTTTTTCTGGAGTTGAGATGTATCCCTTTGGCAGGTTCGTGAGTCATTCTGCAGGATTATAGTAAGCAGTTGTGACAAGAAGCCGTTCATAGTTTTGCATGTTAACGCCTTGCTAATTTAATTTCTAGGAAAGAGAACCTCTGTGTTCATTTGATACCATATTCCTTAATGATGGGACTGACATAAGAAATAGATCTGTGCATTCTTGAACTTCACATTTCTGACCCACACAATACTTCTCAAACTAATTTCTACTTTAATAGACTTTGTTCCAGAACACTTAATTTAGAAAGCTTAAAGCTTAACATTCTTCTGGATGCTTAAACCTTGCCTTTCAGTTCACCTGTGAAAGTGTCAGTGCAAATTTTCTTCCTGTTGCTTGATGATCTCTTGTAATGTCTATCCACCTAGCTTGTTGCTTTATTCAAAGTTGCATTTCTTTACAGGTATTCATCACTAACGGTTGGATGAGTGATGTAGTGATCGTGGTTGCAGTTACAAACCGGGAGGCCCGATCTCCTGCTCATGGAATCAGCCTTTTTCTGGTGGAAAATGGAACAAAAGGTTTCATCAAAGGACGCAAGCTGCACAAAATTGGCCTGAAAGCTCAAGTGAGTTCATACAACCCCTAACACATAATGCACTTGGAGGATGTCTGAAACAACTTAATTCTTGGCATTAGCTAAATAGATATAAAATGGAACTGTGGTGCTATTCTAATTCTTAGGCTTTAAAGCATAAATGATATACATGCAAAATATGTATGCAGAGCGTGCCTATGAAAGCCTGTGATGTGCAAGGAGAAGCTGAGAAAGCTTGGTGCTATTCTAATTCTTAGGCTTTAAAGCACAAATGCTATACATGCAAAGTATGTATGCAGAGTGTGCCTATGGAAGTCTGAAGCCTGTGATGTGTAAGGAGAAGCTGAGAAAGCTGGTTTTGTTCACTTTGAAGAAACCTGAAAGGACAGTATCTTATTGGTGTCTGTCGCTACCTGATGGTTGGCTGGAGAGATGGTGGAGCCAGATTCTTAGAGGAGCACAGTGAAAGGGAGAGTGGCAAGGGACACCAGTTACATTAAGGAAAATTCTAAGTAAGTGTTAAGAAAAAAAAATCCACCATAAAAGTAATCAGATACTGGAAAAGGGGCCCAGGGAGTTTGTGGAGCCTTCATCTTTGGAACTTTGGAAAGCATCTTTGGATGAGGCCCTCAGCTGCTCGCTTGGCTGGAGCTGCTTTGAGGAGGAGATAAACTAGATGACCTCTGGAGGACCCTTCCAAATGAAATGATTTCAAGTTAAAGTGTAGAATAGCATGAAAAAAATGGGACAAAAGAAGTGGGGTGAAGAGATGAGAATGTCCAGCTATAAACTGTTGTATTTAAAATCCTCTTAGGACACAGCCGAGCTGTTTTTTGAAGACGTGCGGTTGCCAGCCAGTGCCTTGCTTGGAAAAGAGAACAAGGGCTTCTATTATCTGATGGCAGAGCTCCCTCAGGTAAGAGAAACGTGAGTGTTTGCTGTCTGTAGGAAGAATATAGAGACACTTTTTGTCATTGGAAGATTATGTATCGTGGGGAGCTACCTTGGGCTCAGAATCAGGATGTCTAGGCAACATTGTGTTGACACTGCAGCTTTTTAACTGAAGTATGTGCTCCCTAGTGCTGAAAGTGCAATTCTTTCGGTGTTGGTAAAAATGTTGATATTCCATCAGCTCAAAGCCAGATCTCCTAGTCAGTAACCCAGCTATTGGAGAACCCGAGGGTAGTGTATTTAAAAGAACATACCACAGTTTTCTTATATACTTCTGGCATGGAACCACTTTGTGTAGTAAATTAAATATAGCTTGGAGGTCTACGATGCGTTTGGCATCCCCTTTAAAGATACAATCAAGCACTGCTGTTCTAGCTCTTTTACCAGTAGAAACATATTAAAGATAAAAGGAACTTTTTTATTTTTTTATGTCCATACAGCACAATAAAGAAGTTGTTTAGTTGCCAAAATACCTTGCTAGGGGAAATAACAGTTTACAACTTACTTTACGAAGTTTTGGAATTATTTGGGAGGACAAAGAGGCAATGTGGTTTTTTTAGAACGTGACTGTGCTTTGTCAAAACTAGACTTTGTGTTTGCCTCATCTGGTTGGGATCATGTTTATTTAATTTTATACTGTGAGTAAATACAAAACCTGATCAAAGAAAATCTTCACTGCTTTAAAGAAATAAATGCACCCATGAACAGGTTCAATGTGCTGCATCAGATTATTTCAATGGGGCTAGAAGTAATTGTTCTGTACTTAGTTTCTCTTCTTCAGCATGTTATGAGGAAGGAAAATGCAGCCAGGATTTTTTAATAGGTTTTGTTTTTTTCTAGAGGTGTCTTGTTGAAATTGTTAAACAGAGTTGTTTAAATTGAGCAGTGAAAACCAATAATTGAAATAGAATTCTATGTGGATGTTTCAGTCAGTAAGAGATGTTTGATTGATTTGTAGCTTTTTTTTTTGAGTCACTGTGGTAGAATATTACCTTGGAAAAGACTTAAAAATGAGCTTCAGGCAGCAAGTCATTTGTCCCACTCATTAATTTCAGTAATGCAGTGTGTCTGGTTTGATACTTAGTGGGACTTCTGCCCCCCTCCCTTAATGAATAGCACTGAGCATCTGTGTCCCAATTGTGCATCTGATATGGAGAAATGTAGGACTAATTCAACTGGATTCCACAATTTTGTGTTTCAAAAGGAAAGACTGCTAATTGCTGATATGGCTCTTGCCAGTTGTGAATTCATGTTTGAAGAAACAAGGAATTATGTGAAGCAAAGAAAAGCTTTTGGGAAGACAATTGCACACTTGCAGGTGAGTTTGAACTGAGAGACTTGGATACGTATTCCAGTGTTGCTTTTGCCTTGTGTCTGTGAAATAGTGAGCAGATGACAATCACTGGGCTGTTTTCAAAGGGCTATTTGAACAGGTTTCACTGTTGGACTGTGGCTGTTTGCCTCCGTGCCCACTGTTCATTTCCCCTGAATGCCTGCAGAGGTGTTTTGTGTTCAGCTTTATGGATATTGTGATGGGATTCCTCAGCTCGCTGGGTATTTAAGTGACTGTGTGTAAAACTGTTGGGTCATTCTCTGTGAGCATACCTCACTCCTGACAGTGGTGGTTAATTGTATTTTGAGACATTCATGCCTACGCTCTTCAGCTGCAGTCATAAAACAGATGTTCCTTTCCGCAGTATTGCGATGTTACAATTTTCCCAAAAACCACATTAGTTGTTAGGGCTTGAAGCAGACCAAGCTCTTGCATGTTTGGTTTATAGGATAGAAATGACTCACATGGGTTAGAGGATGTTGGCTGACTTTTTTTTTTTTTTAAATACACTTTTGAAATAATTTGAAAAAAAAAAAAAATCCCATTTCTAGGTCTTGATACTTCCTTTGTTGAAATCAGATCTTTAGTTGTGAATAGCAGCAGAATTGAAGCCTTTAGAGGCTGGAATGCTAGCTATCTTCCAGAAAATTATGATCTTCATCTGTTTTTAAAGCTAACATTCAGAAATCCATAATTACAGATGGAATTTACTTCATAAACTTCATAAGGTACATTATTTTTGCCAAAATAATCCATTCTTGCATACCTCTTCAGTTTCCTTTTTTGTTGCTGATGGCTAGAATGTGCATATAATCAAAAATCCTTTCTAATTAGGGTTCTGCCTTGCCTAATTCATTTAGTCATGGCACAGTCCAGTGTTTGAAATCAAATCTTTTCTTTGTAATAGTAGACCGGTCCATTATATTTATTGTCAAAGGAAGCAAGAAGATTTTTTTTTTATATATATATACAATTTAGGACTGTGAAATTAGAAGAGCTCTTGCTACTGGGTGGTGTTTTTATCACCTCCCTTCCAGAATTACAAGATGATGGTTGAACGTTTGCCTGGTCTGGTTTTACATAACGATAGCGATGGATTTCGCCTCTTCTATCTGGAAACTTTTCCAACGTGACTGAACTCGGTGTCGAAAAATCTTCTGATCATCTAAAATGTCCTTTGTTTTCGCTTGTGTCTCTTTGTGTATGGATTTAACTGTGAAGAACAGAATGCACAGAAAAAGCGTTCAAGAGATGATGAAATGTTATTGATTGGGGAAATCAGTGGCTTTTCACAAAGTGAAAGGACTTTTCTCCACAAGAGGGAGCTCTGAGAGTCAGAGCACCCGAGGCCGCCTACTGCGCTCTCTAGGAATTTGTTTGCAGGCTCCTGGGTTTTTTTTTCTTTTAAGGTCGTGTTTTGAGTTGGTCTTGAAGCAAAGGGCAGTAATTATCTCTAATAAGATTGGTATAGACATAATGGTATGAGAAGGAAGCCGTGCTCTGCTGGTCAGAGCCAAACTATTTTGAAATAGTGGTTTCTATCAGAAATCCTTTTAGAAAATGCTCCATTTTCTACTTCAAATATCACTCAAAAACTGTAACGCTTCTGCTCTTTCTTTCTTCTGCCTTCCTCCATCCACTTCCAAAATAAGACTGTACAGCACAAGTTGGCAGAAATGAAAACTCAGATTTGCGTGGGCCGAGCTTTTATGGACAACTGTTTGCAGCTGCACGCAGATAAACGTCTGGACTCCTCCACAGCTTCTATGGCAAAGTACTGGTATGTGGTTAAAGTAATTTGGAAGTGTTACTTGCATGATCTTGACAGGAGTCTAATGAAAAAAAACACTGAACTGTGCAGATGTAATAAAAAGATAAAATTGCTTTCTGATTAATAACAAAATTGTTAGCTTCTAATAGGGATGACTAGCTTTAACTTTAATCATGTAGTAAACAACAACAATAGTTACATTGAGAACCAGTGTGGGTTAAACAGATCAATTTCAAAATAACAGCATGCTTTTAAAACAGGCTTCCATTAATAACAACATCAGGGCTTGGCTTTAAGTTCAAGTAACAGTGAGTCCTTCATTGGTATTAGATGAACACTTACATTTTACTGTAGCAAATTGTTGTTGGGAGTTTTGGGATGGGTTTTGTGTTTTGTTTTTAATCAGGGGTGTTGTGGTGGTGGTTTGTGTGTTTGTTTTTGTTAGTTTTTTTTTAAAAGCACAGGTTTATTTGAAGCCCATATGATACTTTTTAGTTAATGTTACTTAGCAATAGCTGTTTGGCCCAGCCAGTTTCTGAAGCTGTCTGGTTTTGGGAAGAAATAGTTGGCTGCAGTTATTGCTGTAACTGAGACTAAACAGTGTTTTCCTTTATTGGCCAGAACTCCTTCTCCCTCTCCCCGTACTTGGTGGTGTTATCTGTTAATTTAGGCTTAACCAGAGAAAACTGGATGAGTAGAAGAATCTAAGATAGTGGCAGATCAAATTGTATAGTTTTATTATGCTTGCAAAGATGGGAGGGGGGAAAAAAAAGTATATCAGATGTGAACAAATAATTTTATGTAAGATGCACAAGTTTACAGATTCTCGACTTTTAAAAATAAGTATAGAGGAAATGAGCAGAAAACACTAAGGGAATCCAGAAAGAGTATTTACAATGAAAGCATTTTGATTGAGTGCTATTCCTGGCACTGATTACCTAGAAGTACCAGGTACATACGCAGAGGCATTCGGTTTTGAGGGGGAGGAAACAACTAGTGCCAGCTCAGATATGTAGACTTTCTTACTCAACTATTTTCCCAAAGCCAGGCATCTGAAACTCCCCCACGCTCCCATCTGCTTCGTGCCACAGTTTGTTGTGGATTTCCCCTTTCCCTGATCGAGTCCTGGTGACTCCCTTCCATAAAACTATCCTAGAAAACGCTTGAATGTAGAGTTGCTTTATTCCCTAATGTTTCAGGAGACTATCTGCAGTTAATTTCAATTCAAACCTTCTGTGTAGTCAATGTCTTGAGTTAGAGCTTTGAAGGGTTTTAAAACATAGTTTGTGCATCTCTTTCCTAATATCTGATGAACAGTCTGTAGGTTTTATTTTGTGGTGATGGGTTGTGTTAAATACACCTAAATTAATATGAAAATATGTTTAGGAAAGCGTTGCAGTAACTCCTTGCTGCAGACTTAAAGTTGGTACAATAAATTGTAAGGCTTTGACTGGGTGAGGGGATGGTTTGGAGGAATGGAGAGAGGTGATTTGGAGGAGAAGACTCTTACATTCTTCCACGGGAAGCAATTGACTTGAATGATCACTTTCTTTACTTCTGTTGTGTCTCTGAAAGTTACATGTTTAGAAAGTGGATTTCTTCCTGTCTTTTAAATTTACCTTAAACTTCCAGTATAGTTAAAGTCTTATTTGGCAGTTAAATCCACATTTTGCTGTGAGCAATCCCACTTTAAAAATTAAAGTATTTTTTTAGAATTGAAAACTATGAAATCTACTGAGGAAAATAAATTATCCCCAGGTGACACTGAAAGAGCATCATGGTGTGTTGCGGGTGGGAGTGTGTGTGTGAGAGCCTGTGATGCTGTTAATTTTTGACAAGGCTGAAAGATTTCAGTAAGAAAAGAGTCTCTACCAACCTGCTTTACAAAAGAAATCTCTTGGCCTGTAAGAAAGGTAAAGAAGCTTGTCCGTTTTAAAAGCTTTCCTTTTCCATAAAGAGAACAGATCTTTAATAGATTAAATTGAACAGTATTTATTTATTACCAATCATGAAGGAAGAAAAAAGTCCCTCAGAATATAAAATATTTTAATGGCCCAGCATTTAAGATCAGCTTATATAGAGTAAAAAGGTTTTGGTTATATTTTTGTCTTGCTAACTTATCTGTACCTCTAGTAAATGTTTCACAGCATAACATCCTTCTCAAAACAAATTCTTTTTTTGGCCGTTTAAGGTGTTCTGATCTCCAAAACAGCATAGCTACACAGTGTGTGCAACTGCACGGAGGATGGGGGTACATGTGGGAGTATCCAATTGCAAAGTAAGTGTAACACTTCAGACTTGAATGATGAAAGATTTCCACCAAAGTAAAAAGAGGCACTTCCTTTATGTCTCCTTGTCAGTTGTTTTGTGTTAGTTCTGATTCACTGTTCCTTTTCTCATCGTGTTTATTGAAAGGCAATCTACTGTACAGATGTCTGCAGGAAGGCTTTGTTTTGATTCTCCAAATAACTCATAAGCTGTCAAGCAATTATTATCTGGTTTTTTTTCACAAAATAGAAGTTGCTTTTCTAGAAGAAAATGTTAACTGAAAAAAACCAGAGAAGCAATGTAAAAAAAAAAAAAAATTAAAAAAAAAAATGGGGAGATAGTTTGAATGTTTAATCTGAAATTAAATGTATACGTATGATGGAAAGAAAACATGTTGGTCAGTCTAAATCTTGTGTAATACCACAAAATAACAAATTGCCTAATCAAGAGCATGACTGGCTACATTCAGCTTTTTCACACCTTTTTAAATGGAAAAGCTATGAGATTTATATGTAGAAGGAATTTGCCATTCCGATTTTTTTTTTTTTTTTTTTGCTTGCTTTATGAATTTGGGGACACTTATGGAGGAGTTTTATGTATTTCCTTGTGTATTATCTGCTAAGATGTTTTCTTTTATATACATGCAATTTGCTACACTAAGTAGAGGTTTTTGTGCTTTTTTAATATATTTTTTTTTAAAAAGGGGGGTAATCCGATAGTAGAAATAGCAAAAACAGGACTGCTATGCAGTTGTCATAAGCAGTTGAAGTAATTTTTTTAACTGAGTAGGCTTAGCTTTTTAAAAATTCTAAATGCATTAAGAGCATGAAATGCTGCTTTAAAAATACACTCATTTAAAAAAACACAGGAAAAAGTAACTTGTGAGTGTTCTGCACCCTATCTTACGAAATAGGAAGGCTGGTGTCAGTAGAAGGCTGTAGCCAGCTGATGTGAAACCAGGTGGCACTTTTCTTTGCCTGCCAAGGTGTTTTGAGTCCCACCTAGAAGAAAAAACTGACAGCACCACCGTTAGCAAGTCCTCTTGGCAGGATCAGACAGGCCCAGGGCATTAGAGCAAATTACTGTGATAACTATCAGTTTGGTTCTGCAGGAGTTGTGGGGTTTTGTTTGGTTTTTTTCACAACAAGGAGGCACCTGGGTCTTGCAGTTCATGCAGGCTCAGGTGATGTGAGGAAAGAAGGGAACAAAAATGGTGGTGGTGGGGGTAGAAGTCTGGTTTTATTGAGCTTAATTTTATTCTGGTTTAATAAGGGGGGATAAATAGAGACTTTACAATGTAAACAAAAAGCCAGGGAGGAGTTACTGACCAAATCCCAAGTTGGGCATAGTAACCTTGAAAAGGTGAAATATTTTTGGTAGTTGAAACCTTTTTGAAAGTGTGAACCTCTTCAAAAAAAAATGAGAATATGGAGGGATCTTCAAAGATAAAATTTGGTATTTTCTCCTTTCATTCTATGTCCATTCTGAGGAGCTGTTTTTAACCTTTCCTTTTTTTGTTGTTTGTTTTTTTTTTTTTCCCTCAGAGCTTTTGTGGATGCCCGTGTTCAGCCAATCTATGGTGGTACCAATGAAATAATGAAAGAACTTATTGCTAGAGACATTGTCAGTGACAAGTAGGGCAGACGCTTACTCCTTTGGAGAGTCTCCTGGCATCCTTTTATATTAATATATGGCATAAAATCAGACATCAGAATGTAAGTAAAATGAATGTGGTGTATCATATTCTTTCAAGGAAGTGACAATATTAAAAAATGCATATGGAGAGTATCTAATATTTAATGAACTTTCAAGTTAAAGATCTTTGGATGACGCACACTAATTCTCTGGGTTCCTAAAGTTCTGGTAGCAAAAGGCAATTTTGTGTCTGGAACTTTATGGGTAGCTTGGTCCTTCAGACTTGACACCGTTATATTGAATCTAACCCTCGCTTTTGGGAGACCAATCTCTTCTCTGGGCAAGAATTAACAAGTAAACAGAAGTTACATGTTAGTATACCTCCAAGTTTTTGTTTCCCCCTTGACAAATATCACTGTGTCCAAGTAGAACTTGCCACTTGCTCACAGGGCCTGGGGGGGGAAGCCCACCACTGACTGCTATGTTTACACGTAACCCTGAATGCCTTATTTTTAATCACTTTGTTCAGAAAAAAACCAACACAATAAAGCATTTCTATGCAATCTGGTGGTTGTCTGTGTTACTTCAAAGCCTGAGGTGACCTGGGGTGCTGCCTCTGCGCCCCTGTTCACCTCAGGGCTCTGAGGGGGAGTCTGAGGGAAGGGAAGGTGATGATGCTGGTCGATATTTTCAGATATTTACAAGTTATTATCCCTAATACAAATGCTAAAATTTCTTCTCTGTTTTTATTTCTTGTTTTTTTTTTAATCATTTCTGCATGTAAGGGGTTGTATCTTCATCTCCACGCCCTGGGGAGCGGCGCCCTCCCCCCCCACTCCTTCTCCCCTCAGGGCCCCGGCTGCTCCGCGCGCCGCCCTCCCTCTCCCGCCGCGCCCCGCGGAGGCGCGCGCGCGCGGCAGGAGGGCCGTGTCCGTGCCTTTCCCCCGCCCCCCC